CTTGAGAATTATCTTGAATGTAGATATCAACGGGTGATGTATCGTAACTTGTTATCAACACCCAAACCCTTATTTGCTGGTGTTCCTCAGGGCTCCGTTTTAGGACCACTTTTGTTTTTAATTTATGTGAATGATGTTGCTGATAATATGGTTACTTTTTGTAGATTATTTGCTGATGACAATTCTTTGCAGCATTCTTCTCATAATATGAAAATTATTGAAAGAGACTTAAACAAAGATCTAAATGCTCTGGAACTTTGGTCTAAAAAATGGTTATTGAAATTTAATCCCTCTAAAACTAAAGCAATAATGTTTAGTACAAAGAAAAACATAGAATATCCTAAGCTTCTTTTTCAACAATGTCAATTGGACTTCATCTCTGAACACAAACACCTCGGAGTATTTTTTTCACACGACGCTAGTTGGTCACTGCATATTGAAAATCTACTGTCTAATGCCTACAAAAAATTATCTCTTTTGAAAAAATTAAAATTTAAAGTAAATCGAAAAACTCTCTCACTCATGTATACGTCATTTATAAGACCGCAACTTGAATATGCTTCAGTGGTATGGGGATGCTGTCAATATAGTGATAACGATAAGTTAGAAAAACTGCAACTTTATGCTGCTAGAATTGTAACAGGGTTAACAACTATAGCTTCTAAAGATTCACTATACTTTGAAACGGGATGGGAACCTCTTAGTTGTAGAAGACAAGAAGCTAGAACAAAAACTATGTTCAAGCTTCATAATAATTTAGTGCCTGAATACTTAATGGACATACTTCCAGATATGCGCTGTAACACATCTATATACTCTACAAGAAATTCTCAAAATTATGATATTCCAAAATGTCGATTACAAACTTATAAGTCTACATTTATTCCGACAGTAGTTAATGAATGGAACTCAATTCCACTCGAAATTCGAAATTTACAGTCAATGTCAAAATTCAAATCTAAAATTAGTACTAAAAAATCTGCTCCACCATCATACTTTGATTACGGTAACAGACGACTAAATGTTCTGCAAACCAGACTACGGCATAATTGCGTATTGAATAGCGACCTTTATAGATGCAATTTAATATCAAGTCCTTTATGCTCCTGTGGTAAAGTTGAGGATACATATCATTATTTTTTTGTATGTCCAAAGTATGAGAAAGCCAGAAAAGAATTCTTAAATAAATTTTTACAATTTGACAAGATCCACATTCTAGATACTCATGTCTTATTATGGGGGGTAGATTCATTGAATGCTGCAGAAAATGAACGTCTCTTTTCTTTTGTTCAATTATTTATTAAACATTCTGGTAGATTTCCTTGTTAGCATTAACTAATGTATCAGTATATGCATTGGTACAAAATTAAGTGTATCTATATATCAGCAAAATGCATCGTTTTGTAAACTTTTGCAATTATTGTATACTTTAAAACTTCATGTTTAACTGTGACGATTTAAATATGTAATTTACATGTAGGGAGAGGGCGTAATAAGTTTTCAGAACTTGTGCCCAATCCCATTGTATTTATTAATTACAATAAAATATGTTCAAACTGCACATAATAGATTTTTCACTTCATGTAAAGGTGTCGCACTGAATGAAATTAACTTGGCACTCCACATGCAGCGGGTTTCATACAATGTAATGATTGCTTTATCACACAAATTATGTTTGTACTGTATATATTGAATTTATCACATCACAGAAAGATATCAGTTATGTATATAATGGAAAAACCACTGCATATAATGATTTTACAGCATAATGTAACGGTACTATCACTTCATTACATTATTTAACCACTACATATAATGACATTGCCACTGAATATAATGATAAAACCACTGCATATAATAAAGTTATCAATGAATATAATGATTTTATCACTGTATATAATGATTTTATCACTTTATATAAAGATAAAACCACTGCATATAATAAAGTTTTCATTGAATATAATGATTTTACCACTATATATAATGACTTCACCACTTCACATAAAGGTTATACCACCTCATATAAAATGAAAATGACCTTCAGGCAGCTATGGCGTTCCATAGGATCACGATTATTAATATATCTGTGTAAGGTAACAGGTCGCACGAATGAGTTGTTCATTTATAACTTTGTTATTTTAATTGATTATTTGTTCACAGCGACAAAGTACGTATAGCTCGAATTATCTCTGTCATTGTTTATATATACTGTTGAAGTTTTATAAGTTTTATATATTGTAATGAGTAAGGGATTGAGTATTGTTAAAGTAAAATGCATTGATTATTGTTCATTTGATTTTAAATATTGTCATTCCATGCAGAGACGCCACTGAATAAAGTCTTAAACTTATATTTGAATCATTTTCATTTGGGTTGTAGGCAGTTACACTTTTGAGTGGTCCTCCTACACTCGTACAGGACTTGTGTGTCTTATAAGGAAAAAAAGACGCACCTGTCAATATTCTGAAATCATTTGTGTGTGGTGGTGGTGTGGGGGGGGGGGGGTAATTAAGAAATAATCTAGAAACATTATTTTAAAATCATGAAATATGAATTTATTTTTACAAAAAAATATTTTCGACATTTTTTTAATCATACGGTGGGGTAGGAATGAAAAATGAAATGCAAATCCAGGATACAATAAATTAATTTAAGTAAATTCTCTTTCATTCGAAACCTTTTGTTAACGTTGTCAAATGATATTCAGACGTGCACAGTTTAAAACAAGTCTATCTGTTGATTAATTGTAAATCTTGTTAAAATTTTCTGAATTAATAAAGATGTAGTGAATTTTTTTCATATAAAATTTAGAAATCTGACAAAGACGAGTACTTTAATTGTATAGAATTTGCATTGGTTTTCAATTTTCATCGACAATTTTTTTTTCATGTCATGAGACATTACATAAAGTGAGACAATTCGATAGTTATCGGAATTGTCAAGAGTTGTCTTTCTTCACACACAGCCCTCATAAGATTGTTCATGTATAAAATGAAACATGTTGATAAAATATGTATATTTGAGAAATTATAAAAGCACAATAGTATACTGTATGTCTATATAAATCTTGCAGAACTGTTGAATGTTCGAAGACTGTATGTAATGCTCTATTACGGGAAAAACACGCCATTTTTTAGTTTATCTTGTACATCTCAGTTGCTAATATTGTTGTTACATATTAGGTCTTTGGACATTAACAGCAAAACAATATCCTTTTTTGACCCAAAATTAAATCGTGCAGTTTACTTTCAAATGTGTTGTCACATTTAAGGAGGTTAATACACGCAAAATTGTCACAAGAACACCCATGACCTTTTAGGCTTTTATTAAATATATTAAGGTAGCAATTGGATATTTAAATCATAGGGTGCATGCTCGGTTTCAGGATGGTGTATATTTCAGGATATTGTATATTGTTTGTTTTTCTTTGTATGTCTTAATACACTGATAAAAATAAAAATCGAAAAAATACATAGTCTTAGAAATATGATATTAATTTCAGCGATTTTCGATTTTTATATTAATCAGAGTATTAAGACAAACATACACAAAATACATCATTTCTATTACCCAAAATGCTGCAATGAAAGATCTCAAGCCTTCCAAACTCAGGAGATTTAATGTACGTGTATGTAATATCGTATATACTCGCCTATAAGTCGGTTGTATTGTTTAAGCTTATATTGGAGGGATTGAATCTATGAAATACCAACCTTTTCATAACTCGCCTATAAGTCGAACAAAGAGTTTTGGACCAAAAAACCGACTTATAGGCGAGTATATACGGTATATGTCGCTTTAGTTTAGAACATATTTTATTGTTCATGATTGATTCATATACGAAAAGATCTTAAGCTAGAATTTTAATTGTATTCAATACATTTTTTATGTCGAATCCCATTTACAGCTCTATTCAAGTTGGATTTTCCAAAGAACAACAACTCTTGAGTCTCATGTAGGTCATCTCGAGTTGTCTACCTTTACCAACGTCGACAAGATTTTACCATGCTGAATGTCTTCTTTTCTTCAGGTTTAATTAATAAATGTTTATTCAATCTGCTATACTGATGATTATAAATTATCTTTATTAAGGAAGCTCTAAACCCTGCTCACAGAAGATTTCTAATTACCTGGTATTTTTATGCAGTAAGCGTGATCTGCCCTTTGCGAAATCTACAGTAAATGACACGATTTGAAATAGATAATTTTATTCATAACAGTATTAGACCAAGATAAAGTAATTAAAGAAGATTTTTGTATGCATTTTCCCAATGTAAGTAAACAACAGTGATTTCTGTTCTCGTGTACTTCATTGTCTTAGACCATTTTTCCTGGAGAAATATGACAGGAATCTTGTGTTGAAAATGAACTAGATAAACTCAGTATGTGCACTTTTAAATGATGCAATTTTCTCAAAGTCCCCAAAACATTTTTCATTAGTGTTTAGAGCTTCTTTAACCATCCTTCCTGCTACATGTAACAAAAAAAACAAACAAATAAATTATCGATTATAAATAAGAGGGTATAATATAAACACAAATATAAACCAATTCAGAACGTTATAGAATCATTTCCTGGATTTTTTTTTGATTTTTTTGGTGGGGGGGTTGGGGGGGGGGGGTTAATAATATTATACAGTAAAACTCGGCGATGAACAATTCACTTATAATGAGGAAATCTCGGCTATAAGGTGTTTTTAACAAATCCCGGAGACCTTTCACTGTGTTCCTTATACAGGGATAGTTTGTGTTAAGGAAGGAAAATTTAAGTTATCCCCGCGACTACCTTCTATAATCGAGTGTTACTGTAGTTAACTTATTGTTTACCCTAAACTCTAATGGAAACCTATACATGTATATGTTCATGTGTTTTACACATGCAAAGAAAAAGTTCGTGATTGCAACCAATTTTCTTATCATCTTGAACTTTCATCTCTAAAATTTATTTTTATATACATGTATTTCAATATCTAAATAAAATAGCATACATTAAGACAAAAACAAAGTTACAATTTCATTTTATTAAATTCAACAACTGTAACAAACTGTGTAATTTATGATAATTAACGGCAGTAGTCATGATGTACAATGTTTCCTGGAATCGTTCAGAAGGTCATCTGGACACGTTGGCACAGCTCTACCTCAACATGTCATGGGTAAATCTAATGAGGCTGAAAAATAAAATAAAAACAACAATAAACACCGTGAAGGTCAGCACATAGAGCAGATTTTGAAAGAAATTATATACCCTTTGTGATAATACATATAAACGGAACTGCCAAATTCAATGCACCATTCTGCAAATCTAGCTTGTTGAATCAGCTGGGTGTAATTTTTCAATTTTTAAGAACATTGAGAATATTAGTGATACGTAAACGTAAATTTTTTTAACAATCTGTAATATAAGAATTTGCATTTAAAAATTAAATAGCGAGCGCTAAATGAAATGGAGCTTCATGTATTTGAAACATTATTTATCCTAAGAACCACTTCACAAGTTCTGGAGTCAGGAAGAGCTTTTTGTACACTTTTTTTTAAAAAACTGTAAAGTAATTCTGTTTTTATTTGTCACATATTTGTAAATTAGCAAAAAGGTATGTTGTTATTAGTGCATAAACACTTTAAGTGAAGGAAATATCTAAAGGTTAACATTTTTTAAACCTTTAATTAATAAAGTTTTAAAGGTCAAATTAAGAATTGTGATAAAATTTAGTCAGAATTGATGAATGCTTTTTCTTTTAGGTTTCCTTCAAGAGTTGGTTCTTATTCATGGTATATAATAAACAGATAATCACAGCCTGAGAGGACCACCCCCCCAAAAAAAAAAATCTCTTAAATCCTTTGTCATAATCCTTTTATTGATGTGTACCCAAGTATCCAAATGAAATGAGTAAACGGTTGAAATGTAATTATAGATACCAGAATTATTTTTATTTTGAATGTTAGAATAAAACAAATTTTATTAAAAATTAATATACAGTAATGATAACAAACATACAGTGTAGGAAAAAATCCAAAGGGATTTGGAAAAAAGTTACAGAACTTATATATTAATCCAATCTCCTTATTATTTGTTGAACTAAATTTTTTGGATGTTTATGAGGGTATGAAACAATAACTTTTAAACAATACTTACTATATTGTAGTAGTCTTGAAAGGAACTTTGTCATCTCTACTCTATATAATAGAATATCCTCCACACAGCTTGGGAAGCTTAATTTTTTTTTGAATCAGGTTGGAAGTTAATGTACATGTACAGTTCATCAACAAAAACAAAATGCACACATGAATAGTTTCTGTGAAATAATAAGCACCATCAAAAATGAGATCAACATGAAATGTATTTCCTTCCACAGATAAATGTATATTGCTGTAGTTCCTACATGACTTGAAGATCAAGAAGTTTGATAATAAGTTGTGGAGGATCTATAATTTTGTCAGACATATGAAGGGTTCCACTGCCCTGCTGTGTTATTTGAGTTTTTCTGATGCATAGCACTGTAGGGCTGGGGTTTCAAGTGTCCATGTGTGTGCTGAATAAAATTGTCAAAATGAGGAAGATGTACTTTGTTTAGGGAGCCAGGTGCTTGTAGTTTGGCATACTCTGATCCTTTGTCATCTGAAACATTTAAAAATCAACTCTCCATAACAAATACTTAGACTCAAAATAATTGTCTTGTTTTGCAATTATTGACTTTAAATTGATAATCAACTTAATTTTATAATTAATTCATTTTACCTTGCCTATGTATATGACTTAGGTCAAGGTCACTTCCCCCTCTTCCACTGTCTGCAGTAGTTGTGTCCCCTGAGGAATCACTGAAGTTGTCTGTAGATGGCAATGGCTGTCTCTGTTTAAAAAAAATGGCATCATTATAATTAAAAAAAATATATATGATTTTAATTGATATTTTTAATTCATGTAGATGTACAGCATTAGATCATAAACAAATTATTACAACTGCAATGTTTCTAGTTTCTAGAATTGGGAATGCAGTAAAAATTGTGTGAAATGAAAGAATTTCATTTTTAATTCATGCAGAGCAGAGTGATTTATTGTCAGATTGATCCAGCAATTTTTAAATGGCATTTAAAAAAAAAAAAACAAACAATATATGACAATTTAAAACATGAGTTTTTCCCCTTGACAGATTGTAAATTGTTCTTTGATCAACTGCCATGAATTTTAATTTTTACTGTTTGAGTGGCAATTAATTAATATTACGTGTAACATGAGGGAATACATTATCTCAAAATAGAATACCTTCTCTTTCTGAGTTAGTAGAAAAGTACCTGTTTATGAACAGATGGTCTATTGTTAGCTAAGTATGGGGAGTTGGGAGGGAAATTCTGGAATTCTGTAGGAGCTCCATCATAGTCTGGTTCAAGAACTGGAGGTCCCTGTGAAACAACAGAATACATTTTGGTTAAACATGATATTTACACAAATATATATACATGTCATGGAGTCACATTTTAATAGAATTGATGGTTATACAATTGACTGACCATTGTCCGGAGGTTGTTGTTGACGTATGCCTAAACTATGATATTTACACAGAGTTACAGCATTGTTTGTTCCCCAAATTTTAATCCCTTTTTAAAACACCCCCAGGATATTATACCCCAGAATTCTTTTATTGACTACCCTGCCAAAGATCTGACCAGTAAAGCCCAGAAGAATAAATGTAACTACTAGTGTACATCTGTTGTGCAAAACCCAGATTTCTGGTATTGACAGATCAATTAGGGCTCAAAAGGAAAGAATGCTGCCGCAAACAGAAGGACTTGTGAAATGTTTGACTTGTAAATTTACTTTTTTCAAATGAAGAACCCTCAAATAAAGGAACAAAGTGCCTTGGAAAGCTAAAGCTAACATTGATACCAGCGAGTCGAGAGGGATTTGTGTTTTTACCATTTCTGTAGGCCTTTATGAGCTTTATGAAAATCAAAGAGATTCCAATGATCAATGTTAAAGGTTTCCAAATAATTTAAGTATAAAGTTATTTTAAAGCAATAAATTAAAAAACATCAAACACATTTTTCTGCTCTTTTTTTACTCCCTAAAGCGATAAGTGATATCTATTCACTTTTTATTCATTTGGTTTTTTTTTAATATTTATATCAATCCTTCTTTTTTTAAAGAGAAAATTATTCTGATATGACTTCAAATTACTTCATGAATATATAAAAGGAAATTGATTAACAAAACACTGTTTTACCTTTGTTTTAGAAATGTTTATGAGTACCTATAGGCTCTGATAATTAATTGTATTTGTATATTTGGAAAAAAAAAATGAATTTCTTCCATTATAGTATATGTGTACTAGTAGCTGACCCTACAAACTAAATTATTACCTTCAAATCAAGACTTCATAGATTATGTACATGTAATTTTTTTTATAATATTATACTTTCTGATCTCAAATTTAATTAAGCAGAATTTTTTGTTTAATTACCTGATTGTGTGATCTGCCATTGAAGTCTTGGTTACTGAAGCTAGGGACCATGTTATGATTCTCTTCATCCAGGGTAAAGCTGACTTCCTTTTTCTTCTTCTTAGTTGGTGTGTCTCCAGGGTTACAGAGAACTCCATTGATTTCTGGGGTCACCTCCATCACAACTTCTGGTACCTTTTGGTCATAAAGAGTCTTGTCTGTGTTTTGCAGATAAGATTTTTTCAGTTTTTTGTCTTGGCGACAGAGAATGCAGATAACAGTAAATATGACTGCTGATATCAAAATGGTGAAGCAGACAATGATGACAGAGATTACTATGTTCTTATTTCCATTATCTTGAAGAGCTTCAACAGTTGTTCCATTGGAATACTTCAACACAATGTAAAAGTTTGTAATGTTATGCCTTGGATTATCTCCCTTGTCTTTCACAAGGACAGACACGGCAAAAGTCACATCCATATCTATATGATATGTCTTTCTTAAAGAGATTTTCCCTGTGTTTCTTCCAATGTAAAAAATATCTAGCTCATTACCATTATGAAATAGATATTCTAGTTGGCTATTTGGACCTTCTTCATCCAAATCATAGGCCTTAATACTGGATATCTTAGAACCAACAGGTGCAAGATAGGAGATAGACATTGTGTTATTTTCTTTGGAGGGGTATACAATAAACGGAGCATTGTCATTTTGATCACGCACTAAAACATTAACTGTAATCTCACTGCTCAGTGAGGGTGAACCAAGATCGCGAGCCCAAACCTGGAAACTGTATTTACTACTGACTTCTCTATCTAAGGACTTGGTGGTCAGTATACCTCCATCAGTCTGGACGATGAAGGGGACATTTGAAGTTGGAGACAACTTAAAAACCACATCTCCATTCTTTCCTTCATCTTTGTCAGTAGCACTGACAGAACCTATATTTGTGTTTGCATCAGAGTTCTCCAGCACAAAAAACTGAAATTCTGGTACTTCAAAAACTGGTGGGTTATCATTAATGTCACTGATATTGAGAACCACTGAAGCTGTGCTGGATTTAGGTGGAGTCCCTCTGTCCAATGCAATTACAGTAAACTTGTAAAAAAGATTTGTTTCTCTGTCAAATCTTGTGTTTGCGGTGATCACTCCTGTTTCAGGGTTAATGGCAAACATGTTGTGGGAGTCTGTAGAAAGCTGGTATCTAACCAGAGCATTGGGACCAAAGTCATCATCTATAGCCAGAACCTGGGTGATGAAATCTCCTACAGCATTGTTCTCATTGATGGCTGAAAAGTAGATAGCCTGTTTGAATTTTGGACTGTGGTCATTTTCATCCTGAACATGCACAAGAAAATGGGAGGAGGTCATCAACTTTGGGGTTCCTTGATCTTCACATGTTACAGTCACATTATGGATGGCTTTTGTCTCCCTGTCTAATAGAGATTTTATGAGGACAACATAACCCTTTCCCTGAACAGCCTCTAAAGCAAAGGAATTGTCAGAGATATCACATGTCACTACTCCATTGGAACCAGAGTCTGTATCTTCCACATTGACATGAGCAATGACTAAACCTGGTTTGGATGATTCAGATACATTTACTATGCCTATACTGCTAGAAGAAAGGAAATTCACACGAACTGTGGGAGGGTTGTTTCCAAAATCCTCCACAGTAATCCGGACTGTACACTGAGATTCTGCAGGCTGTTGTCCCAAATCTGTAGCCTCAATACTGATCTCATAAACCTTGCCTTCTTCATACACTAGATTACCAACTACAGAAATGTCACCAGTGGTATCATTGATGGCAAAAATCTTCTTTATTTCATCAAGATCTGACTGGGTAGAACTGAAACGGTACCTGATTTCTGCATTTTTTCCTTCATCATCATCTGTGGCTGACACTCTCAAGACAGAAGTGCCAATCTGAACTCCTTCTTTGACCTTAGTCTCATAAACACTTTGAGTAAAAACAGGAGAATGGTCATTAGCATCTGTTACTTCCACAGTGACTGATAACGTCCCAGAGTTAGGATGAAGTCCACCATCATAAGCCACTATACTGACCTGATAGGAATTAATCGACTCTCTATCCAGCGTCCTTTTTAAAACCAGTTTCAGTATATGTCCTCCATCTTTCTTTGTCACATTTAATCCAAATGGCCCATCCACAGGAACAATTGTGTAATTCTGAATTCTATTTTTGGCACTTGAGTCTGAATCTGATGCACCGTCTATTCCAATGGTGGTCCCAACAGCTTCCGATTCAGAAATTTGCACAGTGATAACATTTGGTTGAAACGTTGGACTCCTGTCATTAACATCCAGAATAATGATATTCACAGAAATGATCTCATATTTTGTGCTAACACTGGATCGCACCATCACATCAAAATCAAGAGAGCACACCTCCTTAAAGCTGCACTCTGTTTCTCTGTCAATCTCAACTGCTGTGTAAATGTTCCCATTATCATTGTTGATTGTGAACAAAGAAGCCATTTTGGTTTGATCCAAAAAATCATATTTCAGGCTTTTGAATTCGTCATCTGTCATGTTACTGGCAAGTTCACTCTCTGTGGCAATGTTTCCTATCAGTGTGTCTATTGGTTCTTCTTCCTGAAGAGTGAAGCTGATGGATCCAAAACAACATGGCAAGAGGAGGAGAAAAACTACAGTCCAAAGTGAAGCCATGATCTTCCTGGTGGAATTTATTGTCTCACATAACAGACTTCCCTGTAAAATTAAAAATGGAAATCTATAAAAGATATAAATCATCATAAAAACATCAAGTGTCTACCAATTTCTTAAAAAAAGAAAACAAAAGCATACAATTCAAAGAATTATGGGCTTGTTGGTTCAGAGGGAATTTCTCAATTAACCCATTTTCCTCCCTGGCAAGTGACCTCTCTCTATCCCTTCATCTCAAACTTTTTCACATTTTTAAACACCACCGGAGTTTGTAACAGTTTACTTAAGGAACAGTGACTAACCTTGTCAACTATAACTCTGACATTAATAATCTGATGTTCAGCCAGAAGCATCATTACTGTCACCAGGCGGCTTTACAACTCAGACATGTTCCCCCTGACATTGCTGAGAGCCCTCTGGTGGCCCCGGAGATGGGGACTTTCTATTAATATTGGGGATTTAGCAGGAACGATATTCAATAATACCAGCTCTATTCCTGGGATTACAGAAGCAATATGAATTATGATTGTTTATCTGAGAACCTTGTTGATAAGTCTTGTTGGATCTTACCAGAAGTTAAAGATGACTGATAAGGCAACAAAGAAACTTATTAAAAACATTCCTTTCCAACCCGCAAAAACAATACACAGTTAACAGCAGACATGACCATTCACATGACAGGCAGAAAAATAAATGAGGGAATTGATTTTTATTATCTTGGTCATTTAAAATATTTATCTGTCACAAAACAAACACCCTGTTTCTACAGATGTAAACTTCAAAAGAACAACCCACTCTAAAATATTGGTATTTCATTATGTCATATTATCATTTAAATGAATGTAACGTTTATTTACACAGATATAGAAGATTCTCTCGAGATGAAACAATGGTTTATCCTGTAATGATACCACTGGGATTTATCTGTGGAAAGTTTGCCCTACTGATCCATGGGGGCTTACAAATAGAAACAATTGTCAACTTTTTTTGACCACTGCTAACAAATTACAAGATAATCTGAAGGTTCTTAGTCATTTAGTACATAAACAAGTTTAGTATTTTAATACCCATCAATCCCAAATTTTCGTGTGAACCCTTACTGTTGCATAATTCATTTGATCTTATGACTTTATAAGGAAAATTTAAGATAAGCATTCATATGTATTTCCATTTCTTATAGTCTGAGGAAAATCTGTTTAAAAGTTGGGGTTTTTTCAGTCATACTTTTAGTTACTGGTAAATGGTTCATGGTTTTATTGTCCTTAATAATTTTTTTGATTCAACATAAATTTAGTCATCTGACAAAGTTAAGAAAATTAAAATCAGGATAGATAAAAAAAAAATACATATAAAATATCTAAACACACATTTGTTTTATTATTTTCATATTTTCATTCTTGCAGAATAAAAGTCAAATCAATTAATATATCAATAATTTATACAAATTACAAAAATAAATTGATGATTTTAATTCTCTTTTATGGTTTGTTTGAATGGTATAAAAAAAAATCCATTGTAAATTCAACCCTCAATTTAAGAATGCTGCTTAATAATTAAGTTTTACAATTTGCCACAAGTATTGATTTACTTTGTTAAAATGAAGAAAAAAAAGTAAATTGATTAAGTTAATCAAGAATTAATAATAAACTTTTTTACCTTGACGTTGAATCAATCCAACTGAACAGCCCTGGTCAGTTTCTGTGAAATGGATTCCTGTAAGATAAAAAACGAGATGTTAGGACAACACTTGAGAGGTGTTTGACATGAGAAGGTACTGGTAAAAAGACTCTGTAGGTATAATCTAGTGTGACTCTCACTCCAAAAGTGTCAATATTGTCCAAAAATGCTACAATGACCATTTAAATCCTCCTTACAATACAGGAAGCATGGCAAATATTGACTGCTGGGCTTGTTGACTTTTGTTTGTTTGTTTGTCTGTCAATTAGAGTCCTTAGTCAGAAGCTGTGAGGCCTCTCTACCTGGGTCACAGGATATCGAGGTGTCAGGGGAACGAGGGGTGGTAGGGGGTTATGCAGAGTCCCACAGGGAGGTTTTAAAGCTTCCAGTAGTTTCAATCAAACACTTTCTTTCTCTATTGTTTGACTGATTGAAATGCCTAAATTACTGAATAGTAATAAACAAGGTCAGCAGGGGTCAAATTGGATGAAAATTAAATCTTATCTTCTTAAAGAAAATACCTGTATTTACATGTAAATGTGCAATATATTAAAACTGAATGTCTCATATATTTTAACATTAATATACTCTTCGTAAAATATATTAAGGAAAGAAAATGTAATTTATATGATATTAAAATGTGTTTACTTTAAATGTTCTAAAAAATTAAACTTAAAAGACAATTAGTCCAATAAACATGTACTTTAAAGTTCCGTTGAAAAAAAAGAAACACAATTAAAAAGTAATCGTGTTAATTAATGCAACTTTTAGATATTTAGCATTGTTTTCTTTTACTCTTTATGTAGGTCAAAAATATCTGGCATTTTTTTTCCCTTCTTTTTTGTGAAGATGACGTATATTCATATCAACAGAGACTTTGAGAATGGTACCATTAAGAGAATTATCCCATATTTTAATTCCGTTTTTTTATGTATATCCATGTCAGTACATCTTAATTTCTAGTATTATTGTTCTGTGTTCTTTTTTTACCTTAATCATTAATCACATACTTTAAGAAGGTGTAGATAATCCCCAACAACTTAATGGGAATTAAAATGTCTGTGTCAACAAATGTCATCAAATGATTAAACATCTCAATAGTTATCTCCCCTTTATGTCGTGTTAAGCTGTGGGTTTTACTGCTGTAAAAATTCACACCTAGAAAAACGATCCTTTTTTACTTTGTCTGCTATAAAACCTTTTGATTTTTGTTTAAGTCGACAATTTTATTGCATCTTTTCATAAGAGTAAATTTTCCCCGTGTTGAGAGTTAACGTATGGGTGGTGCAACCCCTCCAATTCAAGACACATATCTTCTGAGAAATTAAAAAAAAAATTACAAAATACAAATTGGAAAATACTAGTAGAAGGACAATCTCTGATACAGGAGAAAAATGGGAAATGATATCAGATATCAGAATTTAGGCATGATATGCTATGTATTTTTAAAAAGTTATCAGATGCTATGGATTTTATCGGTTCGTCTAAAATTGTTTTATTTATAATAAGCAAAACCAATTAAAATAAGCTTAGAAAATGAAAAGAAAATTCATAAAGATTGCTCCATGGCAAAAAAAAAAAACAAACAAACAAACAAACAAACACAAAAAATCAGAAAAAAAAACCAAACAACATACATACAAAAAAAAAACCCAGAAACCCAGCTATCACAAACTTCACATTTTCTGATCCACATCACAGAAATCAACATAGATTTGTGTACTTTTAAAAAAAGGACTGCATGGGACATTAGAGATCAAATCTTAAGACAACACATCATTACATATCTCCATAATTTCTGAGTCGGAAAATATTTCAAAGTCTTTACTAGTTATGTAGGAGGAATTTTCCTTAACATGATCTATCGTACATTAGTGAGTTAATTAATAACTTCTATCATATACTTGTTAAATGCAAGGTCCTATCGACATTAAATAAAACCCTTTCTTACATAATTCAATTAATAGCTATACTGAATGTGATTTTGAACTTTTCTGTTCAGAAATTTAAAATGACAGCTTTGAAGTTTCTCACCTTTATTCCAATAAGAAAAGACAGGTGCCTTTTAAGTCCTCTGCACCGTAAGTTCCTATCAGTAAATGAAATTCAATTTTGACAAGACCCTGAATAAACCAATAGACAAGTCTCTCCTCTCCTTGTTATTAATAAAATGATCTAATTAAATATAAAAATCTAAAATGCACTTCAATCTATGAAGTGTCTCAACATTCAAAGACCGGTTCTCTTGAGAAGAATTATTCTCCCATCTTAAAATCAGCCTATCTGTCATCAAAAACGGGGAAAAGACCTAACTACTGAAATCAAAACCGTCCCTCCATATTAAAATTCTTACGAAGGCACGACACTGTTATTGTGTAGTCTTTAGAATCAATTTATTAAAAGCCTGTATTTTTCTCATACTAATCTTTAAAGTTTATCAAACATTAGATAGTTTTTGTGATATTATCTCATGCGGGAAATAAAAAAGGAATCTTAAAAATACATAGCTCATAAGGAAATTTTTAAAATATACTAAAAACAAAACGTGGGAAAGAGAATACAAAACGACAGCAAGATGACATGCTTCGATAACGCATACATGTATGACATTCAAAAAGGAATAAAAGATCCTGGATTAATTATTCACAATAAAATAGAAAAAAAAAACTCACCGTGGTTTTACGTTTTAGATCACGATTTGATATGGATTCTGGATTTCCTGTAGAATTTCCAGACAGAAACAAAGGACGAAAGCATTAATAATTCCGGTGATTTGTACCTGATCAAGTGTCATATTGAGTGATCAAGTCAGTGCAGTGTCCTGTCAGTTTCAATTTAGTACTATGGGTCGGGATAAACACCCATAACAATCAAGACCCCATGTCCGCACCCTAGGGGTAACATTAATTGTATAATATATGATGGTCTTACTGACTGTAATTCATTCTTGTGGGTCAATTCAAGGGGCATAATAATAGCTAGGGATTAAGGGAACACAGGGCACAAAATAAAAAAAAATACAGAGATGAAAAGAACTGAAGATGTTCTTTATCTATTATACATTTAGAAACATGTCATTAAATTACATAGACAACAATATAATTGATTTAAATGTTGAAGCCTTTAGGGTCATAAAACCATATTGTAGTAAATAATGAGAACAACTTAACACAGAGTACATTTTGATTAAAGAGTGAACCTGACTTCTAATCAAATACTTCACTTAATAGTTATAAAATAAATTCACAAAGAGAATCCGAACTAAATTGAATCATTCAAATGGAAATTATAAATTATTCGTGTTAAAATATATTGTATTTTAAAATCTGAATTTTTTTTTTTCGACTATACACTGTAGAGGTTATATTTTGTCAGTTTATATTCCTATCCAGAATACATTGTCTTTAGGAATTAGGTCCAATAATTTTCTGTCAAATTAACTACATTTTGAAAAATCAAATCAAGCAAACGTATGAGACAGTATTTCACAAATATCAAAATAATATTTGTGATATGGATATCATTAAAATTTGTATATTAGCATTGTTAACTAAAAATAGGAACCGACAAGCCCTTTTAAATCCAAAAATCGTTTTACAAAAGTATTGATAAAAGGGTGTTTTTTTGTTTTTTAATTACTTCTTATCTTTTTGTTTTTAATTTCACGAAACCTAAGTTATGAAATAATTACCCTTATTTTATTTATCAAGTGAGTAATCCAGTAGTGTACGTTCACTATACGTTGTATTCAAAACAAGCTATAAGTGTACATTCTCCCTCTATTCACAGTAAATATTGTACTGGGAGAAACATCCATAAAAGAATATTTTTGCATTGAAATACCGCTAAACATAACAGCTGAAAAAAAATAGATAAAATCGTGCAATCAACAAAAACAGACAAACGTAAACACACAAAGGAAACAAAGAAACTCAAAATGAGATATGGTTTACAACGAAAACCAACGTAACCTTTCACGAAAGTTCAGTGAGGCTTTTTACTTCATCAGGCACCTACAGACTCTTAGCACGTTGTCTACGGCCAAATGTATGTGGCTAACCCGACTCATTCTGCTTTTATCACCTGATAAAATGATTTCCATATTTGTGTTTACCTTATTAGCAATATATCTTCAATACCCCAATCTCCCTAATTTCACACGACCGTCTGTCCAATATATAGAAGGTAATTTCTCCAGAGAGCACTAGACCGCTAGTCCTGACTACTTAAACATGACTAAATATGTATTCGGCGCAACCGAAAAATGAATGCAAGTCAATAGCATATTAATTAATAAAACTGTATCCTCAAGCAAGCAAACATTGAGGGTTTTACTTTTAATTTCCATAAGTTTAATTTATTAGGCAAACCAATTCGCTTTTTATTTGTAAGAGTAAGGCTTAGTGCATTTACATATGGATATATATTTCTTGAAAACGCTGGAAAAAGTTCACCGCCTTACCTTCATGTGAAGTTAAATCTTGTGCAGTTAAACAGGGATGCAAAGATAAATACGACTGTTTCCTTTTTCAATTAGTTCTTTAATATAAACTTTAACAATGAAAAATAAACTGACTCTATAATACGGGATAAGAAAGTCCCTATTTACTATACAATCAAAGCCGGTCATTACAAAAGTGAAAATAAGATTAAGATTTAAAGCACTTATAAACTCGAACTTTAAAAACAAAATCATGAGTCAGGGTGCCGATAATCTAGTACTAATGCTCTTTTAAAGAAGTCCCAGTTCATACAGTTTCAATGTCCATCCCCTCAAATCAAATCCCCGAGTAAGGCGAACCGAGTACACCTCTCAAAATCTCTAAAGATCCGAGGTAATCTGAAAACAAAGGGACTTAACTCCCATCGGCCGCAGGGTCCCACATCTCCCAGTGATGTGTTCCGACATTGAAATACATTAAGTTAAAAAAAATCAGAAATCTTTGCCCTTTTTATGGAATAAAAATCCTAAACTGACAAGAACACGCATGACAGAGAAATATTATTTCGAACAAAAACTACATTAAACCAGGACAAGAGA